TAGAGGATGCCGTTGATGAGGCTGTACCCGCGCTTGGCGCCCAGATTCTTGTGGATCGGATGGCCGATGTACACGGTGGTGGAATAGAAGGACCCGAAGAGCGCACCGATGCAGGTGCCTGCGCCGTCGACGATCATCGTCTCCGCCATGGGGTAGTCGTCGCCGGCGGCGGAAGCACTCTCAACGCAGCTCATGGTGCCCACAAAGCCCACCACGCCCACCAGGAAGAGCGTGGTGATGAAGCTGCCAATCTCAGAGAATCCGCCCAAGCCCACGAAGACGGCACCGGAGAGCACGTTGTCCTGGAAGGCATAGGTGTCCCAGGCACGTTGGGCCTCTGCCTGGGAAGTGCCGGTGCAGGTCACTTTCGTGGAATCGAAGTACTGCAGAGTGTAGCCGTACTTTGTCGCCCCGAGCGTTCCAGCCTCGCGTGCGCAGCCCCCCGACCATCCGGCGATGGCTGCGGCCAAGAGTGCCAAGATGCCGATGGGAATGGTGAGCTTCCGGAAGACGTGGTACCGAACACCTCCAAAGAATCCGTTGAAGACGATGAGGAGCGGAATCAGGCACACCATGGGCTCCATGGCAATGTTCAGCATCGGAACGAAGGCAAGGTACACGAAGCCAACACCCACCATGGGCGCGTAGAAAGCGGCAACAGGAGCAGCTTTACGGATGCTCTCGCCCACGAAGGCTCCAAGCATTTCGAAGACGCCCAGTAGAAAGTTGGCTGCCACGGAGACTTTCCATGCGTGGTCTGCCGCATTGATCGCTGCCTGGCGAATGTCAGCGTCCGAAGCCAGTGGACCCGGGAGATAGATGAAGCCGGCAGAGATCAGAGCCTCGAGATTGATGGCGTAGAGGGTGATGTACACTCCTGTGGTGTTGATGCCGTAGGGCTGGGCGGTGACGTCCTCGCGGTTTTCCTTGTTGCCCAGACGCCCACACTGCCAGGCGTAGTAGAGGTTCCCCAACAGCAGGGCGAAGGCACATCCCGGAATGTTGCGCGAGAAATAAACCTTCTCCCACTCCTGGGCGATGGCAGTGGCGTAGCTCGAACCGTCCGACATGCCCACGGCGGTGAAAGCAGCCAGCGTGCCCACGATGCCGTAGCCGATGTGGCCCACAGCTGCGCCGGTCGTTCCCAGCAAGGAACCCAGGTTGTCCACGAAGAGCTCGGACAGACCCTCAGCCTCACCGGAACCCGTCCAGATCGGGATCTTCGTGTTCCACGCAAGGCTCGTGCCCTGCCACCAGGTGAACGGGTTCTCGAACCACTTCCGCTCTGGCTTGTCCCCCCGCGACAGCTTCAAGTCCTCCGCCATGGCAACTCCCACTGGATCCGACCTTCACACGCACGTGCGCGCCCGCTCAGCCAAGATGCTCCGACAAGCAACTGC